CGTGGAAGCAGTTGGGATTGCAAATGTGTCTTTGGGTTTGTGTGTGTCTGAGTCTGCGTGTGTGTGTGTGTGTGTGTGTGTGTGTGTGTGTGTGTGTGTGTGTGTGTGTGTGTGTGTGTGTGTGTGTGTGTGTATGTGAGATGGGGGGGGGATGTGTGTGTGTGGGGGGATGGGGTGGTGAGAGGGTGGATGTGTGTGTGTGTGTGTGTGTGTGTGTGTGCGTTTGTATGTGTGTGTGTTCATGAGAGCGTGCGCGTATGCTTCCTCAATCCTGCATGTGGGTTGCGTTAGAGATGAGGTGCCCCACTCACGCACCCCACGGTCCAGTGTAGAGAGCAAGCGTTGCGAGAGATAAAACATCTCTGTGTTGGTACTGGGGGGAGGGGGGGAGAGAGGTTAGTGATTTTTATTGTTTTGGCTCTGGGCGCCCGGGATGTGGAGTGTGTGTGTGTGTGTGTGTGTGTGCGTGTGCGTCTGTGTGTGTGTGTATGTATGTGTGTGTGTGTGTGTACGTAGACGTGAGAATGTCTGCAAGACAAAGAGAGGAGTGTGAGAAATGCAGACGTTGAGTATATATAGAAGCAAGTGGAAGAAAGTTACGAATACGTTATAGTGTCCAGAGGGGAACAAGGTGGTGAAGAACGAGTTGATATACGCATGTACGTGTCAGTAATACGTGAGTGCACGTTGTGTGTGTGTGTGTGTGTGTGTGTTTGTTGAGTGTGTTTACGGTGTAACCCTCATTTATTTCTGAAAGGGGCGCCCAAGCCTCGCCATACTCTGTTCGCTCTAGGGACCCAAGTGCCCTACTGTGTCAGGGGAAGGAACACATACGGGCGGCACTTCTCAACGTGTGATTTGTTCTCGTTCCAAATCCACTTGAGTATAACGTTTCGCAGGTGCAAGCTGGAAGGTGTGGTTGTCTGTGGACACAGTATTCGCAAGTGGGTGTGGGTTGGTGAGGCGTGAGGGGGGATGGGGCATGTGGACGCGATACCCGCAAGTGGGTGTGGCTGGTGAGGCGTGAACGTGCTGTGGCTGGTGTGTCACCACACCCACCCGGAAAAAGTGGTTTTGACAGATTTTGGGTTCGTGTTTTACTTGTGGGTTTAAGTGGAGGCTGTGGTGGTGGTGGTGGTGGGTGTGGTGGTGGTGGTGGGTGTGGTGGTGATGGGGGTGGTGGTGGTTGTGGTGAGGGTAGTGGTGGTGGTGGTGGTGGTGGAGGGGGGGTTAATAAATGGTAACAGTGGTGGTGGTGGGTGGCCAGGAAGGGGCGGGTTGCAGTTAACTTGGACTTGGTCAAAGCACAAAAAATGATGCTGGGAGTTACACACTTGGCTCAGGATCATCCCTTGGAGGGCCACCATGTATGGAGGAGGAGGAGGAGCTCCCTGTACAGGAGGACCTCCCTGTGTGGGAGAATCCCCCGGCAGGCTGGACCAACCCATCCTTCAGGGGTCTCCGGACAAATATATCTCTGACATCTTGATGATAAATTACATACAGAAAAAAAAATTAGTTTTGTATATATCATTGGACCCCAGTGGGCGGTGCCTTATACAAAGCACCTTTAGTGAATGGTCGTATTATTCATGACCTTTGTACAGTAGTGTCCTAAACACAGACATGCAAATTTGGAGGACCTGGTCCCACCAGCTTACAAGTTTTAGAACAAGGTCACAATACAAAATGTGGCGCCCAGTCCTCAGGATGACGAGCCAGTATGCATGTGAGAGGGGATGAGGGAAGAGGGTCAAGTACAAGACGGACACTGCATGGTCGCCACATAGTATATTATTGTAATATGGTGGACAAGGCTTAGTACCATCAGCACTTCAGAAACTGAGCTGATACTCAGAATGTGCATCGTAACCCCGACAATCACTGGAGAACCTGTAAAGAAACAACCCATACAAACAACGCTAGAGTTACTAAGATAAATGCTGTACAAGAAAACAAAAACAAAAACAAAAATTGATGGCGTCCGTCGGGAGAACACCTGTGTGATGTGTATGGCTTGGCAGGGTGCAGGAGTCGACCGGGTCTCGTGTGGGGGCTGGAGGCTTCTGCCGCAGCATAACCCCCTTCAGGTACTTCTCCTCCTCCCGTGACTTGCCTGGTGGGGTCCACAGTCTCCCCCCACACTCTCTCACTCTTTCTCTTTCTGTCTCTGACTTACTCAAGTCCCGGCCAGCGCCACCTGGGCTCAACCACCCATACACAACATACAGGGGCTTCCAGAGGAACACCATAATAGGTACAGAGAGTAGTTCACTTTCCTGTAGGGCAGCGCATTGCAATCACGCAAGCTCGAGGGGGGGGGGGGTGTAAGTGGGGATGGGGTGGGGGAAAAGTGGGGGTTAGAACGAAAGGAAAAGAAAACAAGGTCTGAACCTTTCAATGATGTGCAAAAGGAAGGTAAACAAAAAATAACTAAGATAATTACGAGCTTGCAGTTGTAAGCAATGTTCTGAAAAAAAAGTAACCACAAATAACGGAATTAGAGCAAACAAGTGAAAAATTTGGGAGGGAGAGAGGGATTATATCACAGTGGGTCAAGACAAGCAAAGATAACCAGGCAATCAAGCAAAGAAAATAATAATATATATATATAAATATATATTTTACATAGAATTCAATGCCAGAAAAAATACAGCAATGGGAATGTGAGCTGCAAAAAAAAAATAATAATAATTTCATAGTATAAGTAAAATTGACTAAAGTAGACCATGAGAGCATATGTCTGTTATCTTACCTTCACAGCTAGTTCTCAGAAGCACAAGGTTTCACTAAAGGCTGTCAGAAGCAATGTGCAACAAAAGGAGGTTAAAAAACAAAATTCAAAACAGCAAGATCATGATGTAGAGAACGAAGTGAGACAGAGAGAGAGAGAGAGAGAGAGAGAGAGAGAGAGAGAGAGAGAGAGAGAGAGAGAGAGAGAGAGAGAGAGAGAGAGAGAGAGAGAGAGAGAGAGAGAAAGAAAGAGAGGGAGAGAGAGAGAGCATTTAAAGGAAAGGAGACTGGGAGGAGAAAGCACTAAGCCAATGCGACTATGCAGCACTTGTAAGGGGTATGACGACACGACTGGTGCTGTGATCGAAGGACGGAGTGAAAGACCAGGTGGAGAGGGTGTATAGGTGGAGGAAGTGTACAGGTGGAGAGAGTCTGGAGGGGGAATAGAGGTGGAGAGAATGTACAGGTAGAAGGGGTGTAGAGGTGGCAGGGGTGTGCAGATGAGGGAGTGTACAGGTGGATGTGGTTATAGGTGGAGGGGGTGTACAGGTGGAGGAAGTGTACAGCTGGATGGGGTGTACAGGTAGTAGAGGGTGTACAGGTGGACGGGGTGTACAGGTGGAGGGGGTGTACAGGTGGAGGGGGTGTACAGGTGGAGGTGGTGTACAGGTGGAAGTAGTGTACAGGTGGAGGTGGTGAACAGTTGGAGGAGGGTGTACAGGTAGAAAGGGAGTGCAGGTGGGAGGTGGTAAACAGGGGTAGGGAGTGTACAGGGGTAGGGAGTGTACAGGGAGAGGGAGTGTATAGGTGGAAGGAGTGTACAGGTGGAGGTGGAGTACAGGTGGAGGTGGTGTAGAGGTGGAGGTGGTGTACAGGTGGAAGGAGTGTACAGGCGGAGTTGATGTACAGGTGGAGGTGGTGTACAGGTGGAGGTGGTATTCAGTTGGAGCGGAGGAAGTCAGGAAGGTGGGAGGGAGGTTGAAGTAACATGGAGGTAGGTGAGTGAAGGTTACCTGCCTGCTTGCAATTCGTCTTTATTTATTTTTGAATAAAAAACACATTTTCTGGAGATTTTTTTAGAATCTCTTTTCATGGAAATATTCACATAAGCCTAACAACAGCTGTTGATAAAAATATATTCAAAATAAGTATCTTTAAATACAATGTTAATAATTCTAGGTATTTTCCAAACAGCTACCACAGTAAAGGGATCCGTCTCTGTACTTTGTGTCCATAAGAAATAGCAGAAACATCGGCATTTTTGTCAAATTTAGAAGAAAAATGACACAAATTGGCAAAAATATTGACCGTATGATGAAGTAAAGTGTGTAGGCAGAATACAAAATTGCAGTTACATACAAGAAGGTCATGAATGCAACGCCTTAATCGTGGCTGGCATATATTTCAAAGCAAATTCTAACTCCGATTGTTCTTTAGATGTTTCTGCATTGCCTGAACAAATTCAATAAGTCTGGATTCAAAGTCAATGCGAAGTTTTATCTCATGCAACTGAATGATATCAGAAGTCTTTGAATCCAGAGCTTAGGACTGAAGCCGACGTCTGACGCTTGTCAGAGAGCGCCCCAACGGTGCCTCAACGTCACAAACGTAGCCATGGTCTCGGTCCTCGTCGGGCGGCCAGCGGGCGGACCTTGGTCAGACACACCTGGAAAGGGCCATCTAAGGTTCGAGCGGAGGCTGGGTCATCCTCTCGTATACATACTGAGATCACCCTTTCGGAGACAGCCAAGTTTTTATATTTTTTTTGAGGGGTGAGGGGGAGGGGGTTGATTGGTTTTGGTCACTGGGTTCCTGGGCGGAGTTAGAGCCGTTGTGGGCCTCACTCGCCGCTCAGGAACCCCAACAGACGCTTCACAATGCTGGCATATTTTACCCCGGTAGTAATGAACGCTTCACAGCCTCGTCTCGGGTTACCATCATATACAAAGTTGAACACACAACACAGTAAAACAAATGCCGGTAACCATAGCCGAGGAACGCTTGCTTGGGAGAGAAGGTTCAGGGAGGAGGGGAGGGCGAGGGTGGGAGCACAGTTGTATGGGAGATAAACCTATATCCTCCCACCACCGACTCCCCTCCGTCTCTCTTTCTATCTCTCTCCTCCCACCACGCAAGATGACTAAAAGAGGAAAAACTTGCTGCCGCCGTTCGAGACCACTCTGCCCAGCTGGACCGCCCCACGCCTTAACTCTAGTGCCTTACTAGTGGTACTTAGGAGCGCGACAACGAGGAGCACATGTATGTACCATTTGCACTTCAGAGAGCGAGCTAATACTGAGAATATGCATCGTTATACCAACGTCCACGTGCGACTCTGCAAAGACAGATACCATCGACCCGGCTTCAGCGACAAAAAAGCCAAACACACGACATACATTTCATAATGTTTACAGTGGAACGTTCTCCCTTTTTGGTTATTTCTTTAAGCAATTGCATGTGAGGAAAAAAAAGTATCCAGGGGGTATCTTTCTGTTATGATTTACAGATGGGCCTAATATTTCTGTGTTGTTCAGATGTGAACAACCATCTGTACGGTCAATGTTCGTTTACGTACGGAAGATGCTTGGTTTTCTCCGCAAAATTCTCGGCTTTGAATGCAAAATTCTTAGCAATGTATGTCAAATTTTCGGTTTTGAATGCAAAATAGTCGGCTTAGTATGCAAAATGAAGCAATGAAAAGAAGTTAAAATGAATTCTCGAATTTAACACTCCCGAGATTCTTTTCGAGAGCCTTGTTGCCTCACTACATATATTAGGCGCTAACGGAAAAGTTGGCCTACAACTTTGTGGGCAGCTTTGTGGACGCCCAAACAACCTGGCACTCTTAATTGTGTTGCTTGTTTGGGAAATGTAATTACGTTTGCAAGATTCACGTAGAGACATTTAATAATAAATTTAAAACTATATCAGACTTATGACTGACGATAACCAAGCATACATATTAATGCAGTATCTAATTACCTCAGCCATTAAGGCAATAAGGTTCAAAATTGATGATACGAGTGCCCATCTAATTCAAAACAGCATTTTAGGCCAAATCTCTTTTGTAGACTGCTGTTTAGGTTACGTTGCTATATGAGAAACTATTGTTGAAGAGGATTGTCTTTTGGAATTTGCAGGAAATGTTACAGATCCTACTTCTGCCGAAGACTTCAGCTCGACAGTAACTAAACAACAAATGGCTTACTTTCGAGCGTATTGAAATATTGCACGAAGCTCCTGGCTGCTTCCCACGTTATTGTGAAAGCAAACCAGCGGCTTCAACACTTTGAAAATACGTGCTAAACATCCTTGATTTTTATCGTACTTAACAGGCAACATTCAACATCCAAAATCAATATAGAGCTATTAGACACTATTTTAGTCAATGGAAATTTTCATACTGTTAAAAAACATAGGTTTTTATATCGTAATGTATGATTAAGCATTCCATTCAAGCTCTTGAGCCACAAAGTTGCAGCCAACAGGCGCCGCATTTAAATCCTTGGACAATTACACACTTTGTTGAAATCTTCAACTCCTATCAATATGTCGGTAAAACAATCCCACACATCATTAGAATGTGCCACAATCAAGTCTCTTAAAGACCTTCACACACAACTGACTAGCACACAACTGACTAGCACACAACTGACTAGCACACAACTGACTAGCATTACTATGTTCACCCACGAACCTAAATGGTCCTCAACCAACTCCCGTGTCCTTACACACCAAGAGAGAGAGAGATGAAACACAGAGGAGGACCTCTGCAGCAGCAGGCAAATAACAATAGTCTCCAGCTATGCACATTCTTCAGCAGGAGTGTGCAAGGCTTCATTATTATACACTGGCGTCACTGCTAATCCACAGCTGTTCGCGACTGACGGATCTTGAATTCTGCCGTCGCATCTTTGAAATCAAAAGTTAAGACAGCTTTGCGGGTGTTAATGACGCCTCTGGTACGAGTTACTGCTGGCCGACGCCTTCATAAGAGCCAAACAATGCCTGTCTCGAGCAGATTATCCTAGTGTTAATGTTATTATCGTTCTGTGCCGCAATATTAAGGTCGCCAACCTTAGGCTCAATGTTGTTATCGTTCTGTGCCTCTGTAACACTGTCTGAAAAAAGTTGTTTGAATAATCCACTATAAATGTTTATCGTAAATAGATTATAGGTTTTACGAACCATAATCTCAGATTCCCGGGCCAAGATTATAGCTAATTTCAACACGGTTGGTAAGAAATGGAAAACATCGTCTTCGAACTAACCCCCGCAGTCCTCGGACTCGGACAATATCAAGCAAGTTAATAAGGAACACATACATCAACATGTGTTCGGTATTAACTTGCTATAATAAGTACCCGTGGGGAGGGTGTGGGGACCCGGGGACCTGCTGCATGGGTGACAGCTTCTCCCTAGTATCAACCAACCCTGGCTTTGCGCCCTGGATAGGCCACGCCAGACCGATAACCATAGCGCAACTCCATATTCTCCAGAGACTGAGGGATACCTACTAACTACTACTTCAGCCCATTTACCAATCTAGGGTCTGTTGGCGCTCATTCTGATATATTTACCAGCAAGATTTAACAGATAGATTCCTGGATTTTTATCTTTAGCAAAATTAAGCGTTAGGATGGACTCATACAGAGGACGGCTGGTGAAGGGCTGGACCATCCTGACGAAGAAGGAAGCCGTCAAGGGAAGGGGGAGGTGGTGGCCCTTCTCCAGGCCCCGCCAGCTCTGTATAAGGGGGGCCTGCAACCCTCTTAGGGACGTTCCACTGTATTTTGAGAAGAAAGTTGATAGGTTCTGAAGAGCGTTGTGGAGGCTGGTGATGGTTGTTGATGGTGGTGGTGATGGTTGTTGATGGTGGTGGTGATGGTGGTGGTGATGGTTGTTGATGGTGATGGTTGTTGATGGTGGTGGTGATGGTTGTTGATGGTGATGGTTGTTGATGGTGATGGTTGTTGATGGTGATGGTTGTTGATGGTTGTGGTGATGGTAGATGATGGTGGTGGTGATGGTTGTTGATGGTGGTGGTGATGGTTGTTGATGGTGGTGGTGATGGTTGTTGATGGTGGTGGTGATGGTTGTTGATGGTGGTGGTGATGGTTGTTGATGGTGGTGGTGATGGTTAGTTGTTGAAGGTGGTGATGGTTGTTGATGGTGGTGGTGATGGTGGTGGTGATGGTTGTTGATGGTGGTGGTGATGGTTGTTGATGGTGGTGGTGATGGTTGTTGATGGTGGTGGTGATGGTTGTGATGGTGGTGGTAGTTGTTGATGGTGGTGGTGATGGTTGTTGATGGTGGCGGTGATGGTTGTTGATGGTGGTGGTGATGGTTGGTTGTTGATGGTGGTGGGGAGAGTGTGGTGATGGTTGTTGGTGATGGTGGTGGTGAAGGGGAGGAGAGAGGGTGGAGATGGTAATGGTTGTTGGTGATGGTGGTGGTTGGTGATGGTGGTGGTTGGTGGTAATGGTGGTGGGGAGAGGGTGGTGATGGTAATGGTTGTTGATGATGGTGGTGGGATGATGTCAAATTTTGGTGGTTGTTGATGATGGTCGGTGGGATAGTATGATGGTAAAAGGTAGTTGGGTGACAAATGGTGGTTATGATAAGAGTGGTAGTTGTTGTGACAATGGTTCGGTGATGATGCAATATCTACTGACCATGACGATTTTATTGCGGTAGTTATGGTGATCATAGGGAGGTGATGGTGATGAATGGGGTGATGATAGTGTTACTGAGGCCAAGTGCCCTCAGTGGCTGTGATGACGATGATGATGATGGTGACAATCCAAGAGTGATAATCATAAGTTTGCATCAGAGCCCAATCAAGTATGAAAGTGAAAAAAATATCATGAATACTCTGATGATGAGCCCTCCCTCTCTCCCTCCCTCCCTCTAAGATATCTAATCTTACACTATCGAATGTAAGATATATATATATATATATATATATATATATATATATATATATATATATATATATATATATATATATATATATATATATATATATATATATATATATATATATATATATATATATATATATATATATGTATATATATATATATATATATATACATATATAAAACATGGCTGAATCGTCATGTTAAACAAATACGTCATCAATTTCTGAGATGGGAGACATACTACTGAAACGTTAAAATTATGTTAATTTAACTTTGTTCCAATAAGAATAAAACCTGCTAATAATATGTTAGATTGATTAATACCAAGTGTAATTTGCAGGGACATAAATCAAGAGAAAAAAACATGATATATAATACATTATCCATAGATTGCATTAGCTAATACTTACATGTATCTGCATGTGACGTCATCACCTCAAGCACCAATCAGGTGGGCGAACGACTGTGTATGTTCTAAAGGCATGACATCATCAAATTTCGAAGCCTCTGACTGGTCTGCCAATCAGAGCGCTCTTCACGTACCAGTTTATTCATCATTAATGAATAATTTCCCTAAATAATGACAGTATCTTCACTGGTATTTAGAAAACAAAAAATCTCCCAGAATAAATCGAGTACCTTTCCATGACGCTTCGAAGCCTTTGTTTAAACATATATCTGGATATTAGAAATGCCTTAATGAATGAACTAAACAGTAGGATTAAGTGTGATGGGTAAATGAATGAATGTATGAACAATGTCCTAAGAATAAATGTGGTGAGCAAATGAGTGAATGAAAAAAATTATGTATGAACAAATTTTATGTGAGAAAAATGTTTTAAGGTTAAATGTCATGACTAAATGACTGTATGAACACATGACTGCATAAACCATGTCCTAAGGTTAGATATGATGAACAAATAAATGTATGAACTATGAATTAAGGTTAGATTAACAAGTAAATGTATGAAGAATATCTTAAAGATTCTTGCCTTTGCTGCTAAAGGATAATTATATATATATATTTATAAATTGTCTAACACTCTACCTATATTTGATTGTGTTCACCTCTCTCATCTATGTTCATACAGTGTTCACCTCCCGTCGTATGTGTTCATACACAGACGACGTATGATCATTATATATGATCATACAGTGGTCATATTTAATCCCGTGTGTTCGGGGTGCTCAGCTTTTCTGTGAATTTTACCATCATGAATTTTGTCATTCGTTGTGTTTGCTAGAATTATTTTATGTTCTATGTTCCAATGTATTCACCTTTGTTCAGCTGTGTTCACCTTTGTTCAGCTGTGTTCACCTGTGTTCACCTGTGTTCACCTGTGTTCACCAGTGCTCACCTGTGTTCACCTGTGTTTACTCGTCTTCAGCTTTCAATTTGCTTCAGCTTCACACTCTACCTAATAATGTTCACAGATCATCTAAATTAAAAATAATAAAATCCTTGTTCAACTCTTTTGAAATACACTGATTTTCATCGTGTTCCCTGGAAACTAAATGTCCAGACTTAGCTTATAGTTTGAAGAATTTTATAAAAAATATCAAGATACGAAAAGGATTTTTTTGTTTAAATAGGAAACATATTTTAGCCTATGATCGTGGTTATGTGGTTATTAAAATGCTTAAAATTACCATTTATTCCTACTATTAAATTGCTAAAATGTGCCAGTTTAAATCATTTAAATTATGCATTTTAATATGACCAAATTATTTAATTTCAGCCTTTTCAAATGGTAAAAATATTTAAATAGAGCCTATTTTAAATTTCCAAATTATTTAAGCAGAACATTTTAAAATGGCCAAATTATTTAAACAGCCGCCTCTTATATTACCATGTTCAATAAATAGCTGTCTCAATAAATAACCAAATGATTTATATGGCAAATTTTTTTTTAAACGGCCGTTTTCTATCGGTAACCTGAGCAAACAATAATTCTGAAACTGAGGATAATCACAGTGAATTACGTATAATGATACCCTCTAATTCAATCCGTAATTACAATCAAAGTCTTTCATAACAGGCTTCATTAGAAGGTCAATCATGCCATTAAGAGCCGCGAGCTCGTCCCGTGTTGAGCTCCCACACGGTTTAGAGGGATAATGCAATATTGGTAGAGTTCTTAATTCGTGCTCTGTGAATTTCTTATCAACTTCTAGCTTAAGGTCTGCTCAAGATACTCTGAAAATCTGGGATCAGATTTCAGATGATATCAGATCGGTTGTTTGAGATCTGCTCAAAATCTAGTGAAGATCTGTTTAACATATATATTTGGTCAAGATTTGCTTAATATCTGGTATATATCTGCTCAATATAAGGCCAAGATCTGTTTAATATCAGGTTATGATCAGTTCAGTATCTGCCCGAGTTCTGCTCAATATCTAGTCAAGCTCTGGTCAATATCTGTGACACTCTTCTCAATATATGTTCTACATTAGTAGGTGTTAGATGTTTCGTTTAAATCAATAGCTTTATACCATAAATAAATTATTTTCCAGGGAGCATAATAACATAAAATATTGACTACACGACAGGACATTATAACAAAGATTGTGCAACTGTGAACATCACATACGAGCGACACACACACACACACGCGCGTACACACTCACTATGAATATATATATATATATATATATATATATATATATATATATATATATATATATATATCAAGGCCCGATTTGCCTAATAAGCCAAGTTTTCCTGAATTAATATATTTACTATAATTTTTTCTTATATGATAAAGCAATATATGAGGTCAATTTTTTTTTTATTGGAGTTAAAATTATATATACCTATATATATATTTAAATATATATATATAGGTTATAGGTATATGAAAATATTATATATATATATCTGGCTATTAGGTACGACATATATATATATATATATATATATATATATATATATATATATATATATTTTATATAAACATTGCTGTGTGTGCTTATATGCATAAATATAACTAAACATCAGTAGCAGACAGAGACAGCAGCCAGAGACAATAGCCGGAAACAGCTGCCAGAGACAACAGCCAGAGGCAACAGCCAGAGACAGCAGCCAGACACAGCAGCCAGAGACAGTAGCCAGAAGCAGCAGCCAGAGACAGCAGCCAGAGGCAGCAGCTAGACACAGCAGCCAGAGAATGCAGCCAAAGACAGCAGCCAGAGACAGCAGCCAAAGACAGCAGCCAGAAACAACAGCCAGAGACAGCATCCAGAGACAGCAGCAAAAGACAACAGTCAGAGGCAGCAGTCAGAGATGACAGCCAGAGACAGCAGCAAAAGGCAGCAGGCAGAGGCAGCAGCCACTGAGAGTAGCCAGAGACAACAACCAGGGACAGCCAGAGACAGCAGCCAGAGACAGCAGCCAAAGACAG